TATTTACTGACGAGTCGTCGCGCCTAACAACTGTTAGCCGTGAACCGTTTGCCACAGCAACGAGGCTTCGCCTCCCTTAGCGGCAGCCGAAGGAATGGATCTGGTAGCAAATGGTTTTCTAGTTGAATTTGCACAACAGACAAGTGAAGGAACTTGTTAATAGTCTGAATGCAACAATTAGATTTAATTTCAAGAATTCAAAATGGCCACCGCTGTGAAAAGACTCTGACCAATCCCGGTCAGAGAAGGCTCCATGTGGCCTCAAAATGGCGGCCACTACAAGGAACGCGTCGCAGATTCAAGGGATTGACCAAAAACAATTTCCTTATATACTAAGAGAAAGGGAACAAACACCCCCCCCCACCTTAATTTCTATGTTACCCTGGGAATTAACTCAGTAAACTGATGAATTAGGAAAAAAAGGCAGACACCCCCCCCCCCAGCCAGGAGAGGTACAAACTCTGCTCCCAAGGAAATAGGAAAGCAAGGGAAAGAAATGAAAGCAAACAAAAATTGGTAACCCCCCCAAAGAAGGAAACCAAACTAATACTCCTATTCTTCAGGAAGAATCCACCAGTGTGTTAAATATCTAGTCTGACCTGCTTTTCATGAAGAGAGTCAAATTATTACGTCCTCATGGGCGAAAGACTAAGATGAAACTGGGAGGAGCTAGATAATGAGGAGGCATGACAACTTGACAACTTAGTCTGATTAGGCAGGAGGACTGAAATAACCCATTGGTGGATTCTTCAGTCATCATGCTGAAGAATAAGCCATTTTAATTGCTGTACTTTAAAACTTCTAGTGGGCAGATCTCCGTTATATATCCAACCATGATACCATGTTCAATTCTACAGTTCAGTTAGCTACAGTTGCACTAAAGATGTTACCTAGTTGGGTAATGAAACATCTGCAAGAAAACAAACAAGCTTAGAGAACACTAAGGACTTCACAATTCAATTCCAAGCTATAAATATTCTCTTCTATTGGTACAGTTGTTTTCTTTTATCTTTGGAAAGATAAGCATACATTTAGATCAGGGGTGTCAAACTGCCAACCCATGGGCCAGTTGCATCATATGGAGGCTGCCCCTACCCTAGCTCCGGCAATGTGGAAAAAGTTGTGATACATCGTGATATGTCACATGATGCGGCGAGTTTGACACCTGTGACTTAGATCCAAAAATCCTAAGGTGATTTAATTTTTTTTTGCTAAACTATAGTTTATAATATTGTTTTCCTCCTGCAATGGATTAGTCTGCTATGCAAGCCTTATTTCTCTTACTGCACAGAATCAATTTATTCACAATCTGTTCCTGGTTGAAGAGATTTCTTCTTTTTTAAAATCATTAGAATGAGCCATGATAAAGGTTCATTTGTTTGTTTTTAATTTCAAAGGATCAACCTTGCTTTCCTTAAATACTTTTGCCTTCCTAATTTCTAAGGAATGCCTCTTATGACTTTACCGGTAGCTCATTTGGAAGGTAGTTAATTGCTGAAATCTTCTCATCAGGCCTATCGGCTAACATAGCACTGCATGTGTACAATGGGGATTTCCTTCCTTCCTTCCTTCCTTCCTTCCTTCCTTCCTTCCTTCCTTCCTTCCTTCCTTCCTTCCTTTCTTCCTTTCTTCCCTTCCTATTTTGTTATAGTATAAAGGGAACAGATGTCTCATAAATAATCAAATTTTTCTTTAAATCATAAGACATCTGTACATATAAAAATTCTATTCCATTATCAGAATGTAAACCCTGTGGCTTTCTTCCAAATTTATTTTTTTTAGGTAGACCATTCATTGTATGACTTTCTGAATATTTCATTCTAATGCCTTATCAGAAATAAACAGGAAAAACATGATGCTTTATTCAAGAAAAAAATTATAAAAACTCCATTTTCTCTATTTGACTTAACAGGAAGGGAATAAAGGTCAATGTGGATTTTCTCACCCAGTCTTACTGTGTTGCATTTCGATGCTTTCAGCACAGTTTGCACTCTGATTCCTGAAGACAATTATATAAATGCATGGAACAGTCCTGATTGGCATATTTTAAGGTGACCAACCATCCTCCTTTAGAGAGGACAGTCCTCCTTTTTAAAGTTCTGTCCTCCCTCAAAAAGTGTCCTCCTACATGTCCTCCTTTTCCATATTTGAAAACTAATCTGCAGGGCTTTTTTTTCTCATAGAACGCTCAGAACGGTGTTCCGGCATCTTTTTTTGATGTTTTTTTTTTCAACTTTTGCATGAGCTATGCTACTCCCCCTATTGGCTTTTAAAAGCCAATAGGAATTGCTGCTGAGCGCACCAAAACACCCAGCCAGCAAACTTTGCACATGTAAGTTGTTTGCAGCGAAGGCAAATTGGCAGGAACTTTGCACCCCTCCCTGCTACCCAACTACACCATCTCCTAGTTAGTCCCAAAGATACCTGCAGGAGACTGGAGTGGCGACGCCACGGTAACTTTCTCTTGATTTTTGGCCCTGCTAAGGCAATAATGGCTGCGGGCACAAGAGGCAGGGGCACCGGGGCTGCTGCGGGTAGGGGTGTGAGGGGCAGCGGTGACCGGCTGCCTCCCGTGCTGTGGGAGCCATGGGGCCTGCTCTACACGGGGCTGTGCAGGGTGGGCGATGGTGCTGGCGGGGTGGCTGCAGGCAGGGTGTATCAACGGCGGGCTGCCCCCCAGGGCCGGAGCCGGCGCAGTTAGTGCTTTGGGAGCCGTGGGGCCCGCTCTACACGGCGGGGCAGCAGTGCTGGTGGGGCGGCTGTGGGCGGGGGTGCGGCATGTAAGCATAATTACAATATAAAATATTATTGTTACAAATGTTTTTTATTATGCATTTATCATATTATAGTGTATTCTGTATTATTGTTGCAATGAATAAAATGTTTCTTTTATTTACGATATTTTTTTCTTCAATTTATTTGTGTCCTCCTTTTCATTGTAAAAATGTTGGTCACCTTACATATTTGCATTTTGGAAATTTTGAATTTTACAGAGACTACCTGTAAAGAAGTTTTAACTACATTTGTGTTTTCTTTTTATACCTTATGCCTTTATCCCTTTGGCTTACTAGTTGTTATTCTTTTTTTATGCATTCTTCAGACTGTTGTTTACACGAGAAGGGGAATAGTGTGACTGATTCATAAATATGTAATTAAATTCAAATAATGTAGCTAGTCCCTCAATGTCTATATTTAATGACATTTTTTGTGCCACATTAAAAAATATGTATTGTGATTCATCCTTTGAAGGGAGATATTTTTTAAGCATTTTATGATTTTGATGCAAGGATTACCTTATACAGGACTGTAAAACACCTGGGTGTTCAAGACTACAAGGCCAATAATTATGACCCACCATGCCTCTGGAGGATGGCTGCTATGAGGAAGTATTGCCTTGGAACTGCAGGCTGCAAAGGATTAGCAATCAGAGCTTTCCCACAGGAAAACAAAACCCAGCTCAGAGTTGGGATCAAGGGCAAATAAGAATTAACTTGGCTCTCAGTTCCTTATGTGCCTTTTGATACTTCTCCCTGGCACCTGCTTGTTTCCCTGACAACCGCAATGGGATGTGGACAGAAAAGAACAGGGAAATTCAGAGAGGAACAAACAAGCTCTCACATGTTGCTTTCCCAAAGTAGGCCAAGGGTCATGCTGGCATGTTAAAGGGCCACATCCTATTTCTTTTGCCTCCTCATGCTAATGTAAAACTCCAGCAAGAGAGATTCATTCAAAACAACAGTTCCTTTTAGCAAAACCGTGGAAAAATAAAGAGCAATAAATAAAGAGAGGATAAGTAGGGAAAGAGAAAGAAAAGGCATTTAAGGCCTCCAGGCTTCCCACTGTTCAGTTATAATCTTTTTTCTCTAGAGGTGCATTTATTGTTCTATGTCCAGAGGTGGTATCTTCTTTTAAGCGTGGACCATCAGCCATTGTGCATATTGTCTGGATGAGGCTGAAAGTGGTGGAAGATGCTGGACAACCACAACTACAGCAATGGACACAAACATGGTGCCCATAAGGAGCTGAAATTTCCAGCCATTCTTGTTTATTATTGTTTCCTAAGACGGCCAGGGGATTTACGTAGGATCTATGAAACCATGGCTCACTGACTTATGAGATCTTTATGATCTCTGGTAATCTCAGCCAACAAATTTCCTTTAACAATTCTGCTTAAGAAAAATAGTAACTCTTATGCAGCTGAACAAATGAATCCTGCAGCCTTAAGTTTATGCACAATATAGATAATTTGGGGAGAGAGGATTGGAGACTCTTGAAATTTTTCAAACATGTTGTGATCATTTTCACAAATGGGTTGTCCCAGAGAGGTCTGCTATTTCACAAAATGGCTATCATGGCCACTATAACTAATCTCAAAATGGTGAGGTTGCTCGCTGCTACTTTCCTTACATTTCTTTGGGGGGAGGGAACTGATACATGAAACTTTGGACAAAGCTCTGGACTGCAACTATATATAGTTTTCAGATAGCCATAAGACTCAGAAGAATTCCAGTGAAATTAGGCGATGCTAATAGTTGGTGGTTTCCTCTGAGCAATGCCAGTTTTTAATTTAATCTTTTTTCCAAAATTAAAATTACCTAAAAATAAAAACAGGAGAACACGTAACCTGTGTCCCACTGAGTAAAATCTGTCCACTGGGATCATTTTACCTGTCCCTGCTTTACAGAGTGACAGGATGTTTTGGGTATGAGATGCAAAGAGGCCACTTGCAATTCCTTGTAAATTGAAGGAAAGGGGTGGGGCAACTATTGTGAGAAGCTGAAGGTGGGAAGTCACTTCTTTATATATTTCTTTCCTTTTTCTATAGTTTTAGTTTTCTTTCTTTCCCACAGCAGTTCTAATTCTTTTTTTCCTGCACCTTCTATTCTTTGTTTTTATTCTATTTGTTAGTTTATATTAGTTTTCACTATTATAATTATAATATATAATAAAACTACTATTAAAAAAAAAGAAAAGAATGAGAAAAAAGGGCAGGAACTCACCAACTCTGCACCAGCTGAACAGAGGGAGTACTCAGTACACGGTCAGGGAGAAGGTTGATCTCTTTCATAATATTGGCCAGTCGGACAGGAAGCTCTTGGCGAAGGAATATGAAGGAGGTCTTCTCACAGGCATTGCTGGATCCTAAGTGAAAGAAAAACAAAATGACACACAGAGCCATTAATAAATCTGCATTATTCAAGTAATGTGTTCTTTTTTCGAGATTCCAAAATTATTATGTACTACTATAATTTCCCATGTGAAGAGTGTAATAGGACGATAATGATTCAAATGATAGCCTTCTGAGATTTAGCTCCTGTAATAACTGATGGGTTCAAATAACCACAATTTATTGCAAATACTGAACACGCTTGGAGAACGAAATATCTTTTCACATTCTCTTCACGCATCAGATATTTATGAACAAACTGTGAGAACACATGATTGTAGAGAATAACTTTAACAGGAGGATATGATAGTTTTAAAAAATAAGGGAGACTACACTGAGATTCAAATATTATTTTTATTTATTAGATCATAACTTTTCTCCAAAATGTCAAGGCTTATATGAGGATTGCCTTTATTTTATCTTCATAGTAACAGTGTGAGTAGCTTGGGCCTATTAATTTATCCAAAGTCCTACAGTGAGATTTTGCAGCACAGAGTGGACCAAATCTTGTTTCTCCTCAATACATCAATCATTACAGCACATTAGTTCTTACACTGGCTTTCAGGAATGGAAATTTTATATCTAAAGCACTTCCCTTTTATGGCTGCTACAAAGTCCATATATTTTCCATGCTTCATCAACACTTAATTGCTGAAATTTTTAGTATCTGACTCGTGTCATCTCCAAGGATGGAATTTCCATGAGATGCTTTCTCAATGTTATTCCTTTCCCCATAGTTTCATAGTTAATACTAATGGGAAAAGGCCACATTTACGCTACATAATTTTACAGTTATAATTCAAGATTTCCAAGTGTGTAAGAGAAGAGGTTTGAGAGGCTGCCACAAGGAGGAGGTGGTCAATTTATTCTCCAAAGCACCAAAAGGCAAGACGAGAAACAATGGAAGGAAACTAATTAAGGAGAGAAGCAATCTGGAATTAAGGAGAAACTTCCTAATAGTGAGGACAATTAACCAGTGGAACAGCTTGCCTTCAGCAGTTGTGGGTGCTTCATCACTGGAGATTAAGAAGAGACTGGACAGTCACTTGTCTGAAATGATATAATATCTCCTGCTTGATAGGGAGGCTGGACTAGAAGACCTCAGAAGTCCCTTCCATCTCTATTCTGATTCTGAGAGCATACTTTTTCACTTTTGTAGTATGCAGACAATGTAGGAGAAGTACATATTATCTTCATTTTAAAATAACTATTCCATTTAGAATAATGGTCATGGTAACTTCTCAATGCAATATTTTAATTTATGAAACAGCTTTTAGACAATTTTAAACAATATGTAGACAGTTTTCCTTTCTGCCTTTTATTTATTCAAACAAATGTGTGAAATCAGATCACAGTCTATTCAGGTCTGAGATTTTTATGTTTTTAAGTCTTCTAATCCAAATACCAGAAAAAACAACATGGTTGATCTCCTATTTCAATGCAAGCAAGCTTTTTGTAAGGGTATAGAATATCTCCCTGCCAGCTGGCATTTTTCCAAAAGGATGTTCTATTTATCTCCAATTGCCTTAAGACAGTGCTTCTCAACGTTTGTGTGATGGCGACCCCCGTCACACAAACATGCCGCGCATGCGCGGGGCCGCCCCATGCGCGGCGCCCCCATGTGCGGCGCGGCACCGCACGCATGCGCGGCACCGCCCCATGCGTGGCGTGCATGCGCGGCGCCGCCCCCCCAGGGGGAAAAATGGCGGATCGCCTTATTTGGCGACCCCCGAGAAATGGTCGATCGACCCCAATGGGGTCGCGACCCATAGGTTGAGAACCGCTGCCTTAAGATGATGGAGCTCATAGTCCAGCACTTCTGGAGGAGACTGTCCAAGAAGAAAACTACTCTGAGCAGGGAGAAGGAGGCACGCAGATTCAAAAACTAATCGCTTGCAAACATGATCACTTTTTTACCCCCTGTAAGGACTCAAACATGAAATATAAGATAAATTTACAAGCTAAACAAATCCAACCAGTTTATTCTACAAAGGTCTTAAGCTTTTAGAAATAATCCACTTTAATCCCACAGAAAGTAAAAAACCAAGATTATTTTCAAGAAGGCCTGAATTGCTGGGAGTGCTGTGCCTTCTTTGTACAAACCAGTCTTTGCCAACCTACTATTCTATTTAATTATTGCATCAGAGCTCCTATCATCACCAGGCAGCAAGGCCATATTGGCTGAGGGAAAGATGGGGTGTAGATCCAACATTTCTAAAAGCTTGGGCAAGGCTTGATTATACAAACAAGGCACAGTATTACATAATTATTTTTTTTAACTAGCAGGTAAGCAACTCATCTTGTTTTTTTGAATATTCAAAATTTTATTAATATAAAATATAAAAATATAAAGGAAAATAATAAGAAAATAAGGGAGAAGGGAAAAGTTTAGGGCAAAGGGAAAAAAGAACGAAAAAGCATTGACTTCTGACTCCTTTTGTTACAGTAGAATAAGTTAATAGCATCAAACCTCAACTTTTTTACTTTTATATAATGCAAACTAGCAATTTTTATAACAACAAACCTATCTAATCTACAAAAGTGAAATTCAAAGTTTCATTTTTTTCCATTTCAAGCACAAAGTCCAAAAGCTGTTTCCAAGCAGAAACAAAATTAATTGTGTTATTTGCTTTAATCAAAGCAGTCAATTTGGCCATCTCTGCTAACTCCATCAACTTTTGCAGCCATTCATCCATTGTAGAAATCAAAGTATTGTTCCATTTTTGTGCATAAAGTAATCTTGCTGTTGTCAACATATATAACGTCAGTGTCCCAATTTTTCCCCCCAAATCTGGCAACTCATCTTGTTTTGAAGAGATATTCACTATTAAGCTAGCACAGAAATGTATATAAATGGTAAATATCAGCGGAGAATGACAGCTAGGCACAGGAAGACACGATCAGCAACAAAACACGAGAGGTTTAGAATTGCACAGGCAAATGAAACAAATGTGAGGCAACTGCTAAGTTCTCCCTACTATGTTTCTATCTGACCTCTCTAATAAAGTCTATAGAGATCTGATCCCTTTAAAAGCTACATATGACATGTAACTGACAACTAGAAAAAAAATGATAAGATAGGTAATGGAATAAAGGGTGAGAGTTCACCCACTCCACGTCCTGTTGCATAATTTTATCAATCAGATTCCGTAAGTTCTTTATTTAGCAACACTGCATGGAAGAGTATCAAACATATTGACCACAGTTCAGATAAAGCAGTGCAGGAAAATCAAAGAGAATATAGCTTGGGGGGTGGAGTATTAGAGGAGGGCCTTAATCTTTCTGGCACTGAGACCCTCCAATCAGCACTTCTTGTCCTTCAGCTCCTTCAAAGGACACTACAAAACTCCCTCCGCCCAAATTGGTAGCTGAGACACAATTTTATTGAGCAGATTTTTCCTTTGCTTCTCCCCTTCATAAGTTAGATCTTCTATGCTTTCATTCCTTCAGCTTAAAATCCTTGCTTTTTGCCACTCAAAAACTGGAGGATCTTAATTCAAGTAAATTAAATTTAATGTAATTTAGGTTAAAAATATGATATGAACAATTGCAGTATTTTGGTAAATGTAACTGAGGTGTTTAGACTTTCTGAATAGAGACAGCATACATAGTGACACATTTGGAAAATGTTGAGAAATATTCTTAGCAAGGGTCACGCTGGCTGGAAATATTAAAAGCTAAATTCACACATCTAGAGAGTTATCTAGACAGTACAATGATTATGGCCCAAATGTTACACTCTATCCTCAGGCACGGAGGTCACTAGGTGACTTTCAGCCAGTTGTTATCTCTCAGCCTAACCCAGTGGTTCTCAATTATTTTCTGTCATGCCCCCCCTAGGAAGAAGAAAACATTTCGCGCCCCCCCGCGTGACTGTCTATCCAATCGGGTCCTTTGCGTGTGTCACGTGCGTCCAATATGACAGTATTTGCCGAGGTCAAACGAGCCCCCCTTTACGGAGCCTCGCGCCCCCCTGGGGGGCCCGCCCCACTATTTGAGAACCACTGGCCTAACCTATCTTCCAGGTTTGTTGTTGGGAAAAATAGGAGGATAAGAGTGATATAAAATATGAATGTAACATGAAGCTCCCAGGGGGAGAATGGGATATACACCTGAACAAATTCCCAGTTGCTCTGATTAATCGGTTAAGAGTCGGGTTACTGAGAGCTATAACCATACATTCCCATTCCTGATGTATGGTTTTATTTCAAAGTCTAGTGAATTCCTGGTATTAAGTATTTATAGAAATAGAGGCAGGTTTATATTGACAGAATCATTGAATCTATAATCACCTGTTCAGGAGCATGAAGTTAAGGCAGTGCTTCTCAAATAGTGGAGCGCGCCCCCCAGGGGGGGCGCAAGGCTCTGTAAAGGGGGGGTTCGTTTGACCTCGGCAAATACTGTCATATTGGATTTCTAGATTGGATCATCTGACTCACTCGCAAGCGGCAGCCCGACGCGGAGGACAACATGACCGCCAACGCACGTGACACATGCAAAGGACTCGACTGGATAGACATGATGCTCTATCCTGATTGGCCAAACCCGCCCGTGTGACTTTTAGACCTGGAAATCGGTCCTCTGTACAGAAAAAAATTTTTTACAGTCGCGCAGGGGGCGCGAAATGTTTTCTTCTTCCTAGGGGGGCATGACAGAAAATAATTGAGAAGCACTGAGTTAAGGCAACAATTCCTTAAACCACATAAGCTTACTACATAGAAATTCCTACTACATTCCTCAAGATTATGCAACAGGACCTACCAATTTAAATACTGCAAATAGCCTTGTACAAATTTCAGAATCATACCTATGGACTCTAGGGTTGAGGAGCCTGCAGTTCTCTGGAGGCTGTTAATTTATGACTCTCCCTAACCATTTCCTGTACTGGAAGTTAACAGAAGTCCCAGGTTCTTTTTTTTGTACATTATCTATTTTTTCATCATTTTAACTGGAGATGCCCAGAAGCAAACCTGGGGCCCTCTGTTTGTAACCTTTGTATGTGATCCCAAGAAATGCTCATTAGGAATTTTTCCCCCAACGGATAAGGAAAGAAAGAAACTGAGCTGAAGAAGACATGGCATAGATAGATATGCCATGTTTGGGAAGTCAAATTGAGAAACCATTTGGCATATTCACCCAGAGAAAGAGGTGATTTAAGGTCATCATACTATACACTTAGTAACCCTCAGCACACAGCAGAAGAAACATAAGGATCCAGAAACAAATTGAACAGGAGAAGTTGTCACTCTAAATAGCTTATGAGCATTTAAGTTTCATATTAACCCTGCACACATTAACAAACTTCTTTTATTTCATTATTATTCACTATCTCTTATTTCTATTGCTGTTTCTCCACAGAACTACACAATCTGTATAAAAATCTCATCAACAAAGGGTAATATTACATGCATTTCATGTCTACACTGTTAAATTTAATGCAACAACACAAGCACATTTTTACGTTCATATATATTTGGCAGTCATCCTACTCTATTCAATGAGATTATCTATGGGGAAATATGAACAGTATGATATATGCACATAATTTTTAAGGTCACAGGGATCTTTTCAGGTCAATCTTGATGAATAAACTTTGATCTTGATCAGAAAATTGGAATTGGATGTTCAATCTACATGAACTAATAAAAGAGGCTACTGGTTCCTCCTTTATGATTTCCTTGTACACTGCCCAGAGTTAATTCTGGTGAAAATTTGATTAATTAATTTCAAGCTCAATTATCCCATTTTAACTTCTGGTATACAAGCAACCACCAGCAGTAATAAAAAACACAACAGCTACATCCCTGCACTAGTTTCCTTGTAACATCAGTGAACTCAGTAGGATTTGGCATACAGCTAATATGTAAAGGATTGCAAGGACAAGTGACTTTGTTTGAAAGTCACTTTAATTTTAAAACTCCCCAGAAGTCAATTACCTGTAAGATAAAAAGCAGATGAGCTAATACAACGAGAAAAATCCTTCCAGAAGGAAGGAAGCAATTTCAGGGCAATCACCCCATCACCCCTAAAAGCAAAAAGATGTGCCGGGAATTTGGGAGTAGGTGTTAGAATTTCGGGTCTTGCTGGTAAGAGAAGCCTGATGGCTTCGGCCAACCTTCCCCCGACTTGACTCCCTTCAAAAGCCCTGGATACCGTCTCAGCCCAGTCTGAAACAGGCTGTTGGTGTGCATGAGAAAGAGAGAATGTTGGGGGGGGGAGGGTGGTTGTACTTTATCCCCCGACATCGCTGTGCAACGGCAGGGCCCCAGGGTACTCTGGGTGGAGAGAATGGGACTTGTAGCCCAACCCATTCGAAGGTGACAGATTCAAGAAACCGGCTGCGTCCCCCTCTCCCTCTCTGGCTCCCACGCACCGAAGTCGAGGAATTGCTTCATGGAGAGCGGCGACGGAGAGAATTTGCTGAAGTGCTCGATATACTTGGGCGCTCCGGCCAGCGCCGACTGGCCCTTCATCAGGCATCGTAAAAGACGCATCGCGGCTCCGCCAGGGCCTGGCAGGCCACCTTCGGGGGAGAAAGCTAGCGGCGGTAACCCCTTTCCCAGCAACCGGAAGCCAACAAGCACCTCGACTCTTCCCTAGCCTCTCGGAGAAACCAGCCCACCGACTGCTTAAAAGAGCTGGTAGACCTAGACCTCTGACGATCCGCCCCTCGCCAGCTGTCGGCCAACCAGCTGCAAAGATCTCGCATTCCGACAGCTGTAGTCCAATCGCTGCAGAAAAACAAGACATTTTCAGCCAATGGGGAGAGAATATCACCACGTGGCAAGGGGAGGGGTGGGGTGCAAGTGTCTCATGGCTTTTGGGATGCGCCCATTTAACTTTTCACTGCCCGCAGCTTGGCAATATAATAACTTTAAAGAGCATCTTAGCCTTGGTTTGTCTTGTCTTTGAAAACGGAACTCTTCAAACACCACAGGCGTTTGTTTGAAATATATTCTATAAATCCAATTCTTAATTTAAGATGTTACAAAACTCTTCCTATTATGGAACACACAGAAACGTTGCATTTTAAAAAGCAGAGACCTCTTTTAACAGCCCAGCCCAGAATTCGTTACTAATACTTTCACTGAACATCACAAGATCAAAAAGCAAGTTTTGAAGGATTTAGAGTTCTTCCTCAAAAAAGATGGTAAAGAAAAACAACAACCAGAAGAAAGAAAGATCCTATACAATCGGATGTTGTATTCTCAAAATTGGCAAATCAATTTAGTTTATTTTTTCCTAGATGCCCTCTGAAACTATCAATTTTAAATTGTCAATTTTAAATGCCTGGAACCTCTTTCTACATTCTGTTTTAAGATTATATGTAGACCGTATACAGTGGTGGGATTCAGCCAATTCGCACCAGTTCTGCAGAACCGGTAGCTAATTTTTTTTTTTGCCCAGGCCCAGAATGGACTTCCGAAAGCGGCATCTACATAGAGAACCAATTGTTCACATATTTGAATCCCACCACTGACCATATATGACTACAGATAGTCCTCAACTTACAGTCATTTAGTGACCCCTTGCAAGTTAGAACAGCACTGAAAAAAGTGACTTATGACCATTTTTCACAGTTATGACCATTGCAGCATCCCCATGGTCACATGATCAAAATTTGGATGCTTAGCAACTGGCTCATATGATAATTGCAGTGTCCCAGGGTCATGTGATCACTTTTTGTGACCTGAAAAAGTCAATGGGGAAGTTAGATTCACTTTACAACCTTGTTACTAACTTAACAATTGCTCTGATTCACTTAACAACTGTAGCAACAAAGGTCGTAAAATGAGGGCAAAACTTACTTGACAACTATGTCGCTCAGCAACACAAATTTTGAGCTCAGTTGTCATATGTTGAGAACTACCTGCAGTATATTACAGAGCTACTCTTATATCCCTCCCTATTTTTAAAAGACATTATTATTCATTGACAACAAATACCTGAATAGCAAACTGAATAAGCAGGAACATAGATCCCATTTTTCTAATTGTGCTGAAGCAGGATGATTGTGTGTGTGCATACACACCTTTTTATACTTCCCCCCCCCTTATGGCCCAAATATAATAATCCATTACAGTTTCCTTTGTTTAATTTTCCAGTTGTACCAAATGTCTCTGGGCTCAACATCAAAATGATACAGTGCAACTCTGTTCTCCATCCTTATTTTGGAAGTATGCCTTCTTATAGTACAATATGATTCTATTGGTGTAGTTAGGAGAATTCAGATATTTCTGTCAAATGTAAGGTTAAGAGTGTTGAGTTGTGTTGACTTATATAACTATTGAATTATAACCCACTCTAAATAAAGCAATCACTTCCTATTAACATCATTCAACTCAGGAATAGACAGACACTGTATTCTGTAGGATTGGAATCCCAAATAATAATGGTAGTAGTAGTAGTAGTAGTAGTAGTAGTAGTAGTAGTAGTAAGTAGTAGTAATAGTAATAATAATAGTGGATGTGGCAGTGCCTGGAGACAGCAGAATAGAAGAGAAAGAGCTGGAGAAGATAACAAAATACAAAGACCTACAAATAGAAATAGAAAGACTGTGGCAAAAGCAAGAAGGGTAGTACCAATAGTCATAGGCGCCTTGGCTGCAATCCCAAAACAATTGGAGCACCGCTTGAACACAATTGGCATTGACAAATTCGCTATTAGTCAATTGCAAAAGGCGGCCTTATTAGGAACTGCTTCCCTCCTGCGACGATATCTGTTATACCATCAAACATCCACATCTGCCTATCCCAGGTCATGGGTAAGAACTCGATAGGTAAACAAAATGCCAAATCCAGTCTGAACATCTGGCTGATTGTGCGATGATTCATAATAATAATAATGAAGTTGGAAGGGACCTTGGAGGTCTTCTAGTCCAACCTCCTGCTCAGGCATGAAACCCTAAACCATTTTAGACAAATGGTTGTCCAGTTTCTTCTTAAAAACTTCCAGTGTTGGAGCATTCACAACTTCTGGAGGCAGGTTGTTCCACTGATTAATTGTTCTGTCAGGAAATTTCTCCTTAGTTCTAGGTTGCTTCTCTCTTTGATTAGTTTCCATCCATTGCTTCTTGTCCTGCCTTGAGGTGCTTTGGAGAACAGCTTGATTCCCTCTTCTCTGTGGCAACCCCCAAGATATTGGAACACTGCTATAATGTTCGCCCTTGTCCTTCTCTTCATTAAACTAGACATACTCAATTCCAGCAACCGTTCCTTATATGTTTTAGCCTCCAGTCCCCTAATCATCTTTGTTGCGCTTCTTTCTAGAGTCTCAACATCTTTTTTACATTGTGGTGACCAAAACTGGATGCAGTATTCCAAGTATGGCCTTACCAAATCATTGTAAAGTGGTATTAACACTTCATATGATCTTGATTCTATCCCCCTGTTAACGCATCCTAGCACTGTGTTGGCTTTTTTTGACAGCTGCAGCACACCACTGGCTCATATTTAAGTGATTGTCTACTAGGACTCCAAGATCCCTCTCACAGTTACTACTGAGCAAGGTACCACCTATACTATACCTATGCATTTGGTTTTTCTTGCCTAAATGTAGAACCTTACTTTTTTCATCATTGAATTTCATTTTGTTAGATAGTGCCCAATGTTCAAGTCTGTCAAAATCCTTCTGTAGCTTAAGCCTATCTTCTGGAGTGTTGGCTATTCCTGCCAGCTTGGTGTCATCTGCAAATCTGATGAGTTCCCCATCTATCCCCTTGTCCAAATCATTGATGAAGATGTTGAAGAGCACTGAGCCCAGAACAGAACCCTGGGGCACCCCACTACACACTTTCCTCTATGTAGATGCAGTTCCATTGAGGACCACATGCCGAGTACGGCCTGTCATCCGGCTACGAATCCATCTGGTGGTGATAGTAGTTGTGATAGTAACCCACATTTTTCTATCTTATCAAGTAGTAGGTTGTAGATAGAGACCATATTTGTGCACAGGATACAAAGCCTTCCCAATTTAACTGATAAGAAACACAAACTTCTCCAGTGGCTTTAGAATACATTTAATTTATCAGAAAGTTACTGATAATTATTAAGTACTGATACAAATACAGCACTTATTATACTGGCATGGGAGGCCGGAGGAAGAGGACCAGCCCGCCTCCAGTATAATTGTGGTATTGTCATGAGGGAATAGTAGGGATCAGATCATGTATCAAGAATATGTTCAACCAAGCACACCTTTTCCTGATATCACACTGCTGCTTCAAAGGATTCCCTATGAGGCTACATGCATATATCCATGTGCTCTATCAATCATATTTTGCCCTTCAAAATGTGGATTTCTGTATAGCACTATCAGATGTCAGAATGAATCCAACAGATTGTTTATCCATTTTCCAGTGGACTTCATCCTTGATATTGTTTGATAGTGACAAATATCCAAAGCTGAAATCTGGGGAATTTAATTTAGTGTACTTTAAAAAGCAGAAAGAAAATAAAAACCCCAAGTTACAAATCATAATATTTTATTCATAAAATAGACACTCAAGCTTATTTACAATCAAGGCACAATGATTCAAGACCTCCAGTACCATAAACAGTGGGAAAATCCAATAAACAACAAATATATATATATTCATTTATTTATATATGAATGTATTTATGTACACATCACTAAAGATAAGTACATTCTTTGTAATTTAAAACATGCCTGGGAGATGGAAAGGAATGGGCAAATTAAATGTGACTATTGTCAGGGATGAATACATAGTGAATGAAACCAAATTTCCTTGACAATAACATGTGGAACAGAATCCAGAGACAGTCAATTCCTTTTAAGGGAGTTTTTACACATCAAAATAAGCCCCAATTTTGGTAGTCTAGGTTCAGTTTTGTTCAGTGCAGAAGTCAGCATCCATCCTTGGCTCATGGGAAGATAAATTGAGGCAGTTTTCCAGCCCATTGCTTTCCAAATGCAAAGGACTACAAGTACCATAATCCCTTGTTGTTTGGGAATACTGGGAGTTGCAGTCCATCACATCAAATACTGGTATATTTGCCTAGAGCCTAGATTAAAATACAAATCTGAAATGTTGACCAGCCTGATGGATAATTAGATGTGAGCTAAAAGCAAGACTTTAAGGTACCACAATGATTTTTGCTTTCTTTTGCTGTTATAAAAATCATCAATTCCAATGGTAGTTTCATTTCTCTGAGCTGGCAAGTCCAATATTGTTTCTTATTAAACAGTGAATTGCTGGATACAGCCCAAGTCAGAAAACTGAAGCATTTTTTGGCAAGATTAACTCTGCAGAAGCTGTTTCCCATAAATCCGTAGCTTTCTTATGTGAAGAATAAGGCATTAATTTCTCCTCTTGATTCGAAATGGTAGCCAGGGAAGAGGTAGTGTGGGTGAACCTTGTTCTTTCTTAGTTGCCCAGCTAGCTGCAGCCATTCTCATCTCACTACCTATTCCACTGGATTTCTCTAAAAGTTGCTTACTATTGAAAAAGAGTTGCCTAGTTTTAAGACTCTGTTCATTTTGCTCTTTGATCCAGTTCAGTTATGAGGGAAGGCCATGTCTTAGACTTTCTTTTTAATTAATTCACACTTCACCCAAGAATGCACGACTACTAGCTTCAGTAAGCTCTAGCTGAAAATTTTGGAATCGTTTTAGTGAAAGAACAGATGCCAACACCTGACTCACCTG